CCCCGCCGCTGCCGCCGCCGCCGCCGAGCGCCAGCAGCCCGTACCGGCCGCCCGACGCCGCGGCGCCGCCGCGGGGCGTCAGCGCGCCCGGCGAGAGCGCGGCGGCGCCCGCCGCGGCGCCCCAGCTGCCGGCGCCGAACAGGCCCAGGGTCGACTGCCCGAGGTCGCCTATGCTGCCCGCGCTGCCCAGCCGCAGCGCCCCGAGGCTCCCGCTGCTCCTGATCTGGAGAGGAGACGCGCCCATCGCCGCCGCCACCGCAGCGGCATGCTGCTGCTGCTGCTGCTGCTGCTGCTGCTGCTGCTGCTGCTGCTGCTGCTGCTGGAATGCTGCGCCGCCATCCAATATCAGGCCGCCGTTGGCTGCTGCCCCAAAAGGAGATAGCCCGTTGGCCGCAGCCGCCGCCGGCTGGCTCTGCAAGGTGCCGCCCCCTGTAAGAACGGCAGCGGCAGCAGCGGCAGCGGCCTGCTGCTGCTGGTGCTGCAGCTGCGCCGCCATGAACTGCGCCTGCACCTGTGCTTGCGCCTGCACCTGCCGTTGCTGCGCCTGCGCTTGGGCTTGTGCCTGCGCCTGCGCCTGTGCCTGTGCCTGTGCCTGCGCCTGCTGGTGTTGCTGCAGCTGCATCATGAGCAGCGCCTGCTGCTGCCGCGCACCGCCTGCCGCGCCCGCGACCTCTCCGTTGGCTGGCTGACCCCGCAGCTGCTGCTGCTGCGCCTGCTGCGCCTGCTGCTGCTGCTGCGCTTGCTGCTGCTGCGCCTGCTGCTGCTGCTGCTGCGCCTGCTGCTGCTGCGCCTGCTGCAGGGCCTGCTGCTGGTGCGCCTGCCACTGCGCGTGCTGCTGCAGCACCGCCTGCTCCCGCGGGGAGGGGTCGGCTGGGGAGAAGTCGTCCTCCAGCAGCCCAGAGGGCAACAGCCCAGCCATGCCCCCAATAGGATCCTCATCCGGGGCCCCACCCCCTGCCCGCGCGCCGCCCTTAGCCGCCAAGCTGCGCTGGGCCTCGCCCGCCGCCCCCGTAGCGCGCGCGGGCGCCGTGCCCCGGCCGACCCCGCCCACGCCATTGATGCCCGCGCCGCTCCCGCGCCATGAAGGAGCAGTGAAGCCGTCGGCTTCGGTGCCCCGCGGCCGTTGATCCCTGCCAGTGCTGGGCGCATAGTCCGAAGCGCCGCCGCCACCCCAGTCGCGCCCCGGGGATGCCGGCACCTGCCTGGCAGCTGCCTGGTGCTGCTGGTTCGTGGCACCGTTGGCCGCCACGTAAGAGGCGGATGTGTCATAGTACCCGCCTCCGCCGCCTCGCCCCTGGCCCGGGCCGGACGGGGTCGCCGCCCCTGCGCGCGGCGGCGGCGGCGGCTGTTGCTGCCGGTACTGCTGATGAGGCGTCTGCCCCTGCTGCTGCTTGAGCGGCTGCTGCGCTTGTGACTGTGCGAATCGCTGCTGCTGCTGCTGCTGCTGCTGCTGCTGCATGTAGTACATTTGAGCTTGCTGCTGCTGGTGGTGCTGCTGTTGTTTGGGTGGCGGAGGCGGCGGCTGTTGCTGCACCAAGCCGCGGCCACCGCCAGTCTGTGGGCCCCCGCCGTAGCCCGACCGCATTTGTAGGAATGCCTGCCCCACCTGGCGCGATATCGGAGGGCGTAAGCGCTGATTTGCAGGCTGAGAGTGCGCACGACAGCCCAATGACCCACCTGCCTCAATCCAGTGTGCATGAACGAGACTATCGCGCAAAGCAAAGCACCGGCGCACGCCTGTCAGGCTGCTGGATGTGCCACCACTTGAGCCGGCCCGGTCGCGTGCAAACGCCATCGCGACCGCATTCCCAAAGGCTGAGCAGGGGCCTGCCACAAGCCCAACGGGAGGGACCACCCACCTCGGCCCACAGCGGCTGGACGTCATCCGCCAGCCCGTACTCTGCCGCGCGGTGCAGCATGGCGTGGAACTCCCAGGGCTGCAGCCCACTGCGCTGAAACGCCTCGCCGACCTCCTCGCGCCGCACAAACGCCGCGTCCTCAGCTGCGGCGCCGGCGGCGTCCGTGGCCTTCCAGCCGCGGACGCGGTGCAGCAGCTGGTCCATGGCTACGTGCATGAGCACGTCACGCTCGCCCGTGGCCTGCATATCTGCGAGGGTGCCAGGCTTTCGTCACACCTCGCTGTGAGGGTCCGCGAAGGGCAGTCGGTCACCCGCAGGCAACCAAGCATCAGGTGCAAGCTCACGAGAGCGAGCAGGACCGCAAGGCCCCAGCTTGGCTCGTGGATCGGCCGAGCTGGACAAGCACTTCAAGCGAGCCACCAGGCCCACCAGGTGAGCTCGTGCCGCTTATGAACTCAGGCTAGTGCTGTTGACTGGCTGTCAGCCCGCTTGCGCCAGCGAGACTGCATCGTGATCTGAACGAGGTGTAGATGGGTACGTAGAAGGGCGCCATGTGGAACCCTCCAGTGAATGGATTGTGCATTCAACAAGAAGAGCAGGGGCTCTGGGTTTGGTCGAGGGTGCACAGTGCGCCCCTGGTTCCCGTGCAGCCTAGGTCACCTCAAATCCAGCAAACCAGCGAAGCCTAGCTGTGCATGACGCTTTCGCGCACCTGCCTGTGTTGAGCCAGCAGAACCTTAAATCTTTATAGTGCTTGGCTGATCCGGTGTAGATTGACTCCGTGTTAGCATGCATGCCTGTGGGGACTGCACGGTTTGACCGCCTTTGACCATTTATGCCGTCGACGCAACAACTGGTTGGTTGCATACTGCATCAATTGATGCATCGTTCATGGGTTGGTTACCACAGGGGCCGTGATGGGAAGGTGGTATGCAGAGATTTGCACGATTGCAGGGCTGTATAGATGTGCCTTGCCCTAAACTTTAAGGTGATGACCCGCCCCACATAATTAAGCGCCACCCCCACCAAAATGATGGGTTCGCCCACTCACTATCCGCAAATATGTACAAGCCATTGGTGTGATCGCTCCAGTGTGCCAGTAGCCAAGCAGCTGTATGTATGGTATATTCAGAGGGGTATCGGGCCGCCGCCAGGCAGAGCCCTGCCCTAGAAATGTGCAGACAAGCGCGCCAGCACAGGGCCAGCCGACAGGCATGCTCAAGGTGCGTACCGATTATGCCGGTCAAAAGCATTTGCTTGCCTTGCAGTGTGAATGATGTGGCGGCTGACGCCTGATGATATGGTATAACTTGTGGGTCGAGTCCACAAAGCTTCATCCACTGCTGCCGGGCGGGCGGCTCAGTCCTGCATATTGTAATGCATATAGCATGCATACGTGCGCGAGCGGCGCGCCCCCCGCCGTAGCGCGGGGTGCACGCCCCATTGGCGGCACCGCGGGGACAGGCCGCTGGGGGAAAGCGATTGCGGTGGCTCGGTACCAAAAGCAAAGGTGGCATGATCGGCATAGGGCGCTCAATGTTGTCACATTGTGCAGGCACATGGGACGTGCATAAGGAGGCACGACGTTAGAGACAAAAGGGGTTCATACCAGCAAGGGTGGACGCAACCCCACAGCAATGCAGGGCAGCCTCTGGGCGCCGCGGTGCGCCGCAAATCGCATCAAGTGAGGTTTCACGGCTTTCTTCGACTGGGCTACTCGTGATTTTTCTCGTTTACCGCCTGCCAAACGGCCAGGGAGGGTCCTGCTGTGCCCGCGGCCGCCCGCCACCTCGCAGCTCTCGCTGAGGGCGCGTGAAGCGACGTCACAACCGCACGCGTGGATGCATTGGGGGGAAGGCTTTGCAGCGGCCGGCGCGGCGCGCGAGTCTGCCTGGACTGCCAGGCAGCGAATGGCGCCCCGCCCGCGGCCTGCCTACCACCCAAGGCGCTTGCGGCGCATTGACAGCCAGAGGTTCTGGGGGTAGGACGCCCCGTCCTGCATCCACCGCACGGCCACCCTGGCGGCCGCGTTGTCGCGCGTCTGGATGCCCACAAAGTTGATCTGGGGACCGAAACTGCTGTCGGGCAGTTTCAGGGGCTGGCTGGCCTTGAGGTTCCAAAACGTCTGCATGTAAACATGGGGCGACGGGGAGGGACGCTCGGTCGGTGGGGAGCCTGGTCTGCCGAGAGACGGGTGCACGGCGGTAACGCGCCGTGTGTGGGCGCTTCTGCACTCATGGGGCGGTCAGGCAGCGTCGGCTTTCCGGCTCGATGGCAGGGTCATGACGCAAGCGCAGCGGCCCGAGAGAGGCGGCCGAAATAATATCACCAAACCTGGTAGCTGGCGCTGTTGGGGCCGGCCCCGGCGCCGCCGCCGGACTTGAATGCGCGGGTGCCCGCTCCCATGTTCAAGTCTGCAGCGCGCGCACGCATGCGCATTGGCAGTCCGGGGGGCACGACGGTGGGTTTGAGAGTCCAGGTGCGGTCCCCGTGAGACCCGCTGGCTTCTCCACCGGCGCAGGCAGCCAGAGGCAGCAGCAGCCACGCATCTGTATCTTATTTTGCTCGAAGACGCCGGTTTAACAGCAGTCTGTGGGGGCTTTAGTACAGTCACAACAGAGCAGGCACAGCGGCTGTGTTTATCTTTACAAAAGTATATAGGGCTCCAGGGGACCCACCAGAGTACAGGTTGGCGTAGGGCGCGCCCTTGTGGAAGTCGAGGTTCAAATCCGCCCCCCAGCTGTCGGTCCAGACGCTGCCGTGCTCCGCCGTCGCGACAGTGAAGTCGTGGAAGAAGGGGGCCTGGGCCGGGCGTCCGTGCGGGGAAGGTTGCGTCAGGAGGTTGGCGCGGTGGGTGGCTCGGTCGGCAGTGCCGCGGCAAGCGCAGAGGAGGGATTGCACAGCCTGCAGAAGCAATGCATGCCCTTCTCATCACATGCGGAAAGCCCTGCCTGCGCCTGCAGGGCAGCACAAGCGCCACGACGGGTCGATGCACAAATACATACACGCTCTGCACACACGCACAGGCACACGCACACACACTCCCGCTCTACAGTATCTTGCTGTCTCACTCTCTTGCTGTCTCGCTCTCTCCTGCCCCCCCCCCCCACGCAAACAAACACATGCACATCATGCAGACATACACACACACTCTTTCTCTTTCTGACACACACACACACACACACACACACATCTACACACACACACACCTTCACTGCAATCCGTTGGAACAAGTTGTCCTCCCCAAACTCGCTCCAGATCCCGCGGTGGCCGTTGCGGTCCAGGCCGCTCCAGGGATCACGCGTATAAGAGGTCCGCGGGCTGTGAAGATAAAGGTTGACAGGATCAACACGGGCGCGCACACGAGCCAGGGCGCCGCCCCGAGCAACGAAGGGCGGGTGCGACCCGGCGCCGCCTTGACCCGGCAGGCCGGCCCGCGGACGGCGCACCCACAGGGGCGCGCCTAGGGACGGGCCGGCCGGTCCAGGGTGACAGTGGGCCGCGACCCCCTGGGCCCTCCTGGGGGCTGCCGAGCCCGGCCCGCTGTGTCGCGCGCCCCCTGTGTAACCCGGGTGTGCAAAGTTCACGGTCACCTGGTGACGTCGATCTCCACGTCCTGGACGGTCGAGAAGATGGTGCCCCAGAAGTACACCGCCGTGTCGGCGTTCAAGAAGCGCACGTCGCGCACCCAGGAGTTGGCCATCTGGTTGAACATGAGGGCGTTGAAGCCGTTCTCCTTTAGGTGGCCGGGGTACCTGCCGGTGCGGCCAGGTGTTTTGACAAATTGCTGACGGTTATGCCAGAAACAGTAGGTCACGTGTTGCCTCAAAAGCATCTCAATCAGGCAGGCGGAGTCGATGTCAGCCCTGACAAGAACTTTGCCAAACAACGGCCAATGGGGAATTGACCAACGTTTGGATGGCTGGAACCAGGACTTGGTTGGGAGCGAGGGAAGGGTTGGGGGAAAGCCGCGATTGCAGAACCCAGCATTTGGGCCTGATGGCACCCGTGGAGCTCGCGGCCGTCGCGCCAACAGCGCATGTGTCCCCTGCACTCCGGCCCCTCCTGTTTCTTTGAAGCCGCTGCTCCGCCCGTCCCCCCCCCCCCCGACCACACACACACACACGAAGCCAAAGCAAGCGGCCACCTGTGCTCGCGCTCACTTTGTCCATTTGAACTCAAATGTCAGCCCCTCCACGCCTGTTTCACTGATCGTCGGCCGCAGCGCGTGCAGCACCGGGCCCCACTGCGTCTTGACATCCCAGGGCAGCGCCTGCTCCAGAGTGACCTGGCTGCCGGGCCCGACCTGGCAGGGGAATGGGAGGGGGAAGAGTGTGGGGGGCCGATGCGGTGCGGTGCGGTGCGGTGCGGGGCGGGGCGGGGTCAGGCGGTGTGTCAGGTGGGTTCTGGGTGTCTTTAGGGATTGCAGCAGCCCCTGGCTCCGGCGCCGGCGGGCGCGGGAAGGAGGGGATCGCTGGCCGTGACGGCGTGCGGCCGGCTTGAGGTACATTGTTGGCAAATGCGCGGGGCGCTGACAAGCATCGAATCCGCCAAGCGGTGTGGGTCATCCGATAGCAAGCAGATTCATGAAAACACCCTGGATCCGTATTGTGCAGATTTGCATGTACGTATACGTCTCCTATCACACACATATTTACAAGTGATTGCATGCGGCTGCACCCACCTGAGACACGCGGCTTGAGAACCTGACTAGGTTGCGGGCGCCGCTGCTGGGCCAGCCGGCCTCCATGATGCCGCCCATGAGGTTGCTCTTGAACACGTCAGCTGGCGTCATCGGTTGGGTATGGCAACGGCACGGTTGTGTGAGGCGCAGGCTGAGCGGCAGGGGAAGGAGCACACCAAGCAAGGGTGCCCTGCTGTGGAGGACGCCAAAGCAACTCCCTTGATGCCCTGCCTCTCGCCAGCCTGGCCCCTCCGACCTCTCCCACCCTGCAAACCCCATCAGCCACCACCCATGTCTCCTGGGTCCCCCCACACAACAGGCCCCATTGGCTGCTCCGCAGCCATGCCCGTCCCCTGGCAGTGCCAATTGCTTCCCCGCCGGCCGCCCCCATCAGTCAGGCTTGTTTGACCCAAAAGTCGCGCGACGTTTGTGTCATTATTAAGCCTGACCGAGCAATACCCCATGTGTGGTGACGCCCTATGCCACATGGAAGTGGTCTTCAACAGCCACACCTGAGTCACGAAGGACGACGCGCACCCACATGCCCTTCTGCAAGCGGCCGGGGTTGTCCACAAATATCTTGTTGCTGCCCTTTGGCGTGAACCCCGTGATTGTGGCCAGTCGGGTCTTGTCATCCCTTATAGGGTCCCAGCCCCTGAGGCTTGCGAGGTGACAGGGGCGGCGGCTGCGTGGACGCGTGGCGGCCACCCATGGTCGTACGTGCACAGCATGTGGCGCTCTCGGGGTGGATGCTAGGGCGCGGGCCAGGCCGCAGCCCGGCGGACAGCAGCAGGGGCAGCCGCGCACCGCAGGCCACGCTGCATGGAGCCTGCCCTTTGGGGCTGCTGAAGGTCTGGGGCGTTTTGATTATGCGCCGGCGTAGCGCAGTCAAACGCTGCGCACCAGTAGTTGACCCAGCAGGTGCCGTGGCCCCAGCCCCCAAAGTTGCCGTAGACCTCTGCCAGGCTCTTGGGGAAATAGAGGGTGGTCTGGGGTGATGGGGAGGGGATGATATGCGAGCCTCGAGCTGTGGGATGTGTGGATATTGGATTTGACATGCATGGGAGTCTGCATACGTGCATGTGAGTGCGCGTGTGTGTGTACACACGTATGTGCAGGCACGTGCGGCACACGCGCATGGATGCACCTGCCTGCGGGCACACACACACACACACACGCATGCACACACACAGACAGACGCACGCATGTTGACATGGTTGTGCAACATGCGAGGCACAGTGCGGCAAGGGTGGGCACCTCTGCATGTGTTTGTCGCAGCCTGTGCCCGAGGTGCCACAAGTCGCATGCACCACACCTGCCCACCTTGTACTTGCCAGCGCCGCGCAGGGTGACGCCCTTTCGGATGTCCAGCTTGCGGGTGATGACGTACTTGCCTGGGTGCGCGGTTGGATCATGGCTCCCTCAGTACTAATGTATGCGTGCACTAGCCCCTTAACATTATCAGACCTCTAGTTGCTTTTGCCCTTTGTGTCTTAATCACATTTGAATCAACAAGGGGTCCTCCATTCGGACCAGCAGCCCCGTGCGTTTCGTCTGCACCTGGCGGGAAGTATACCGCGGTGCCGTCCCGCGCCTGGGCGATCGCCCTCTCTACCGCCGCCGTGTCGTCGGTGCGGCCGTCGCCCTTGGCGCCTGCGGCCCTCGCGTCCACGGACTGCGGCTTCAAGGGGATCTGCTTCTCCCCGGCGCCGTAGCCTGCATAGCTCCAGTCGATGGGGAGGCGGCTGCGGTCCCACTTCTCCCCCTGGCAGCCGTACCTGCCGGAAGGCGGTTGCCACAATACACACGAGTTTTGTTTGTTGCATGGTAGACGCGAGTTGCTTTGGGCGGGGGTCGTGCATGTTGCTGTCCCTGATGCTTCGGGCGCGGCAGGCTGGACGGGCGTGCCGGCTTGCGGGAGTGCGGGGCGCGCGAGGCAGGCGGCGCTTGCGTCGGATCACGAGCGTGGCGTGCGTGCGGGGAACGTTCCGCACATCCAGGAGGACATCTTGAAGGGGCCCTGGCAGGTGCGCATGTCGGCCCCGCATCGCCGGCCGGGCGGGCAGCACTTCTGGCCGTCGCCGGTCTGGCAGGCGTAGCCTGGGTTTTGTGGGGCGAGGCGCATGGTGGGGAGGGGGGTGCAAACGCATGCGCGATAGCGGGTGGGGTGTGAGACGACGTGCAGAACCTAGGCCGCTGGCAGCAAGACCAAAAAGAGGCATGTGGGAGGCGCGCAGTGAGCAGTCCACTGCGTCCTGAGAGTGGCTCGAGAAGCCGCGGCCACCACCTCGAGGGTGCATGACAATCCCTGAACATCCACTCACTCTCCGCGGCCGCAGGCTGCGGCAGCAGCAGCAGCAGAAGCAGCAGCAGCGATGTTGCAAGCAGCAGGAGCCGTTGTGCCGCCGGCCGCACAGCCACTGATTCCGTGAGGGGCATCCTCAGATGTAAGACTTTGGGCGCCCTGTTTGGGCGTGTCGCGCAGAGAAGCGTGCAGCACGCTACGGTATCAAGACTGCCGCATCCGCCGCTGGTATCGCGGCTGCTGCATACGTGGCAGCGGCTTTGTCGGACTGACGGGTGGCCCGGTACAGTCATGCATGTGCAGCGCCATGGTGCGGCGGGTGACAACCGACTCTGAAACCCCTGCCACTGTGTGAGAGCAGCTGCATCGGGCAATAGCCACAAGGTGTCACTCAAAATTTCGGTACAGCTGCTATGTTGCTGCAGACACCGGCAATGAGGGCAGCAACGAAAGCGACAGGCGCAGGTTTTTGCCCCGATTGTGAGGGGTGCAACGGCCTCTTCCCACGAAATATGCAAGCTTTGTCTCACATTCACTCACTGGGTGAATTTCGGATGGGGATGGTGCACCCTCACAAGACGGCTGACCTAGTTGTGCACGCCCTTGTGCGCGCTTGGAGTCGGATCGCCGTGATTTATGCAAAAATAGCAGGGCCAGCGCCGTATAAATTAAGCACGCCGTACCGCATGGCTGCCCAGGCCCCTCTGGCAGAACACCCACGCACGCCACCCAGTGACCAATGGTGTGTCGAGCGCCAGCCGCTTTGCGAGCTCGTGAGCTTGGTTGTATACTCGCGCCTGTCCTCGTCAAGTGGGCTCTGTTCTTGTTTTAAACTAGAATAGGCTGTCTGTTTACTGCTGTAACCGCCTGAAGTCGAACTTGTTCCGTTGCAAATGCAGAGCTCCAGTGG